GGATTCATCTCTCCCCTTGGGAGACACATACCTCCATGCTTCTGGGTTCCATTCTTTTTCACCCTCTCAGGAGCCTCACTTTGTCAGTCATCCATACTCTCCTGCATCTTTAACCTCTTTTCCTACTGGCTTCCTCTATCAGCCTACAAACATGCTCAAATCTCTACTAATACATTAAAACAAAACATTCCTCTCCAGCTATCTATCACCTCTCTTCCCATTCACTATCCAACTTCTTGAAAGAGCTGTCTCCACTTCCTTACCTTTTGTGCAAGGCATCACTTTTTCTAAGAAATAATGGAGGCAGAAGCCACATTGCTATGGATTAATGAGAAAGTGGGAAGAAATAGAATCAGCAATCATATACAACTCGTGTCCCTCTCCCCACCCCCTACACTTGGTCAGGCCTTCTGACTCCAGAGGCCTCACGTCCCTCTGGCTTCCCCCAATAGTCCCTCTAGGGGCTCCAGCCAGGTCCTGTGGAAGCTGCCACCACTACCACCACTTGCCGTTGATTCTGTGGAAGCCAAGGGGGAGGGAAAAGGCCCCAGAATCGCCAGCCACATCCCCTATTTCCTGATTCTCAGAGCTACAGATTCTGGTCTTCCCAAGGGATTTTTAACCCCAGCCCAGTTTCCTTCCACACTATCCCTGTATCATTCTGGAGACCAAGTGGTACCTCAATAATGGGTTAGCTAATTGGGAGCCCCCCACCCCCTGGGGTGGGACTCCCAGAACTTGCAATGCCCACCTTACTGAATCACTCTTTGGAGGAGGTTACCATGCTTATTTCATGTGATCCACCACCCCGGCCACACCAGACTGGATCAGAATGGGATGCTGAACTAAAGATCAATCATCTCCAAGGGAGCCTGGTCCGAAAGCTGTGGGGACCCAATGGTGAGCCAATGACACTCACAGGGCAGGAGTAAGGCAGGGACAGGGACTCTCATTCCCCTAATCCCACCTCCACACAACAGGCCGATGCAGAGGCTCATCAGACAAATAGGCAGAATTTTTATTTCCTAACTCATTCACTGGACCTCTGTTCAGAACGCAGACCAGAGGCACTGTAGCTGGAAGGCACAGTGAGCCCTTCTTAAGCAATCCTGGACCCAGCAAAGACCCCACACCTGTCACTCTTCACAGCAATCTCTTCCCCCTCCCCGCTATGCCAGGGGAAAGGGAAAGCAGGACAGCAAGGCCCACTTCTGTGGATTCAAGCCTTGCTGGAGATGTTGAGCAGTTAGAGGGGCTCATCGAAGAAAGCACAGTCATCCCAGACACTCGAGTCTGGAGAACAGGGCTCCACACAGTAATCCCAGACACTCAGGTCTGGAGGACAGGACTCTGAAGCAGGTCCTCAGGACCGGGTGTCTCGAGCCCTTCTTTGGGGTCGGGGGCCACAGCTGGAGCTGGGAGTTGAGCCTAGGCCAGGGGATGCCCCCGGGGGCTGGTAGCCACACTCATTGGGGTCCAGTGGGTCCCTGCTGAGCAGTACCCATACCGCAGGCACATGGCGGCGCACCGTAAGGGGGTCTAGGCCTGTGTCAGGTGAGGCTGGGACCCAGCTGTCCTCAGTCTCCAGGAAGCGCAGCTTGGTGAGCTGGTGCAGGCCCGGTACCCGCCGCTTGACAATCTCAGCGCAGCTGACAGCCTTCCCTGTTGCACGTCCAGAACCTGAGAAGACCACATGGCGTGCACTGCCTCCTTCCAACTGACCCAGCGCCAGCTCCAGTAGGTTGCGGATTTTGCTGCCATCTTCGACTCGCATGTCCAAGGTATTAGGAGGTAGCTGGGGCATCGGGGAAGGCGCTGGGAGCTCCACAGAGCCAGCTTTCCGGTAGTGTTCCATCCGGTTTGCTGTGATGTCTGTAAATCTTGCTGCCCACTGCAGGGAAGTGTCAGATGAGTACTAGGTAGTGCAACCCAGGCCATCCTCCCATCCTGGCTCTCCAGGACACAGCTTTGCTCCTTATCCCAGACTTCCCAGGAATGGGACTATACCCTCACCCCCAGCTTCTCAGGAAGTGGGCCATACCAGTCTCACCCTGGGATGGGGCTGCACCTCATACACCCCCCGTTCCTCTCTCTGCACACGGCCATAACCTTCCTCCCATCCCGAGAGTCCGTGAGATGGGATCAAATTCCCCAAACACTGGGCTTTCTGGGACAGTGATCCCAGAGGTCCCCAGGACTGGGACCAAAGCTCAGCCCCCCTCAACATCGTCACCTCAAACTCCTCCAAAACAAAGCTGAGCGCCTCTCACTCCTGCCTCTCAAAGGACAGGGCCAAGCCCCTTTACCCCACGCGCCCCAAAGACAGAACCGACCCGCCCTCACTCCAGGATCCTTAGAAGAGAGCCGAGCACCCTTCACCCCGAGATTCCGTTGGTCAGGGTCGATACCCCTTCAGCCCAGGTCACTCAAACTCGGGAGCAGAGGCTCGATGCGGACGGCTGCTTGGGCTTCTCCTGGCCCCGGCCGTCCCATCGCTAATGGTGTTCCCAGTATTCTGCGCGCTGCACCCGCCGAGAAGCCGGCCTCCCCCTCCCTCTACCTCTAAGCGCCCCTACTCCTTCAGATTCCGGGTCTCACCGCCTCCACCGCGCCCGCCTCACGCGCGATACGAAGCCAAGATGGCGCGCAGGTCGGGAGAGCGCTGCGGCTGCGGGGCTGCGCACGCCGGGGGTGGGCGGGGCCTGAGGGAACGCGGCCCGCGGTACCTCTTTTGGGGAAACTAAGGGTCGGCCAGAGAGTCCAGGAGCGAGCAGAGCCAGGACGTCCGGGGAGTGGGAACACAAGCGCATTGTATACGCTGTGACGCCTGGAGCAGGGGCACTCCCCCGGGGGACTGAGAGCCCTGCGAATGGGAGGGGCGGCCACCAGAGGAGTCCAGCGTCTGAAGGTGGGGAAGCTTTGGCTCTTCGAGGATAGGAGGACTGGCGTTACTGGCAATAGCAAAGATGAAGCGAAAATCAGCAGAGTTCAGTATGCGCAGGAGCAAGAGGTTCAGTTTGGAGTGGCTGCTTTTACGCGGCCGAGAGCCTCGAATAGCGCGTTCTGAGCTTTGGTCACCCTGTGGGCCCTGCGAGCTACGGAGGGGTTTCCAGCCGGAGACAGTCGAAGGAGAGTCTCACTCTGGCCGCAGCGGAAGAGGGGTTGGTGGGGAAAATCGGACCGCAGCCGCTGGTGACTTCTGGCCTGAGGGTCCCGGGGGCGTGTCCACGAAGCCCAGAACGGTGCCCGGCGTGTAACAGGCACGCAAATATTTAAAAGGATGAACCAGAGCAATGGCAGTGGGAATGGAGAGAAAGAGATTAAGTTGGGAGATATTAGGAGGTAGATTCGGCGAAGAGTTGGCGACTGTTTGGACGGAAAGGAGAGAAGCGTCTCGATGAATCCCAGGTTTCAGACCAGTTTGTCCAAACTGAATTTGAGACCGCGCATGCGGGGGTGGGGGGGGCGGCGTGGAGAGGCGAGCGGGCAGTTGGAAAGGACGCTAGAGACCAGAACACGCCCTAAGACCACACGGGGGCAGCAAACACTCGGCGGAGTGTGGTGCCCATCTTGGTCTCCTTTTTTAAATGCTAGCCTGCCTCCTATCCAGCCTCCCTTCCCCGGAACCTAAAACTCCCCGCAGCCAAACCTTCCACCTTTTCTGGACTCCCCTAGCTGGCTGACAGCACCAGGTAGGCGCCTCTCTGCCTTTGCATATGCTGCTCCCTTGGCTCTCAAAAGTCACTTCATATCACCTACCAGGGGTGCCTTCCCCCCAGCCCCTTCTTCTGTGCCCCAAAGGACCTTGTGTCCATCTGATGGGACTATCCTTTTCGTTGACTGTCTCCACCTCCGCCCCCCCACCACAGCCTGTGCAGGGCAGGAATTAAGTGGGCTCTACCTGTGTCCTCCCCACCTGGCATAGCATCTGTTATTTAGAGGGTGTTCAGCAAAAGTGTGATAAATGAATGCAAAAACGAATGTCCTATTCACATCAGTCAAATGAGAGCCTTCATTCTGAGAGCTCCGCACCTCTGGGTGTCCAAAACAGGATGCATGTAGTACCCAATACAACTACCAGGTGCCCGCCACCCCCATCCCCACCACCAACCCCATCCTAAATCAGGATGTTGGCATACTCCTTCAGTGATCTCTACAGTTTATTGTCAGTGGAATAAGGACACTGATTGGGAGGTGGTACAAATCTCAAATCTCAGGTACCGCTGACCTCTGACCTCAGAGACACACCTGAGTGCAGGCAAATGGGCTGTGAATCCAGTAAATAGAGAGAGCTGCCTCTGCCCTGTTACAAGGGCAGACGGGCACAGGGTCCTGAAGTGGGGCTGTCCTGGTCACCCCAGGATGGGGAACAGTTGTCACTCCTCCACCGGCTTCACTTGCTTGGCGGCCTCTAGCTGGCAAAGTAGCTCATCCCACTGCACAAACTGCTTGGAGAGAAGCATTGTCTGGTCACGGGTCAAGGTGAGAAGAACAGCAGCCTGAGGGAGTAGAGAGATTTCACACAGGCCAAAAGGGGTGGGGTTGGGGGAGCAGAGGAAGAGAGACTGGTTGGGCAGAGGTGAGACAGAGCTAGAGTTGGGACAAAATGACAGGGCTTGGGGACAGCACCCATTGGGGCCTGGCTGAGCAGAAAGGATACAGTCTTGTTGTATTCCTCCAGGAGAGCCTTGGACTCCTCAGTGATCTCCACACACTGGTCCTGTGGGGCCAACGAGTGTCAGGAAAAGGAGCTGGGCAAAGCCCCAACCGCCCACTAGCCTTTCTGCCTCATCAGGGACCCTCATGCCCCACAGAGCCCAGAAAAGCTGATGCTTAACCCCAGAACCAAAGGAGCAAATTGCAGGCTCTAGGATGGGTGCCCTAGCAGTGGTGTGGCTGGCGCCATTTTCAGTCTAAAGACAGATGGAAGGCGGAGTGAGCCACACATTTAAGGAAACATTCCCCCTAGTAGGTCTCCTCCTCCCCTGCCCCCTATTTCTGAACCCTCTTTGAACTTTACACTAGGGCCTGAGAATAGTGAAAAAAGAGCTCCTCCACCCATAGTTAAGGATACACCATCCAGGAATTCTTGGGTACCTCCCCAAATCAACCTTGTGGTGTCTCAAACTAGCCCTGTTCTGGGAGGTAGGAGACCTGGATGTGGCCCTAGGCAAGTCCCTTCCCCTGTCCAAGGCAAGATAAAGGACAATACCTGCCCCTCTGCCCAAGTTTCCCCTGGAGCTGACATCAGAGGGGCCTAAGGCTGCTTCCCCAGGTAGCAGCAGTGAGGACTAGGTGGCTTACCACTTCTACCTTCCCTTCCAGCCCTCTCCCCTCCCATAACCTGCTGCTGGATGTGGATCTGGGCCAAGCGCTGCAGGCGGGCAGCATGCTCAGGAACGGCTGTAAAACACAACGCACTGCCCGATGATGTTTGTGCCCTCCCCCGGGACTGCTCAATAGTCTATTAGGTCGTTGGCAGGATTAGAGTATTGAGTGGAGAAGCTAAACAAACACCAGGCTTCATCGACCACTGCAGCTGGAGATGGTGGGGCTCCCTGCCCATCCCAGTGCTACTCCAGGACCCGTAGGGGAGGGGAGGACACAGGCCCCTAGAAGAACAGAAAACCTTGGGGTCCCCAGAATTGCCCCCTACCCCTACCCCAGTGCTGTAAGCAGGGCCAGGTAGAGAGGGCTTTTTGCCTATCATGGGGTCTGTCCCTTTGCCCTTGGCCCAATAGGGAGCCTGCCAGTGGGCTAAGGATGAGTGCCAGGTCCCTATGCTGGCCACCCAGAATCCAACACCCAGAGCCTTGGCCACCACGGTGGGCCCTCAGCTTAAGGCTGTCAGATGTTCAGCAGGTAGCTGATTGGGGCAGGGAGGGGAAGCTGGAAAAAAATGCCTCCAGAGACAGACAAGATGGATATCTGGATTCAATTAAAGCCACTGTCTGCTTGTCAAAGCCCAGGCAAAGGGACTGCTCTCAGCAGTGCAGCAAGAAGAACTCATACACATTCACACACCTGCCAGGGACTCTGATGGTAAAATCCAGACTCTGCAGCACCCTGAAGGACAGATGCCGAGGGGTAGGGTAGAGGTCAGATGGAAATTCCCAGAGCTGGGGGCTGCTGGAGCTTACACTAGTGTCCTTGGGCCCAAACTGCCTGAGGTCCTGACACGGGGCTCTCTGCCCTGGCAATTCTAGTCCCAATGGAGGTGGCAGGTGGCCCCAGGGTGAGGGTAAAGATAAGGGGCAAATCCAGTCTGGGCCCAGGGAACCCAGGGCATGGGGAAGTCCTGCCCATCCACCCACCTCCCAAGCATAGTAGTGGAGCTGCAGCCCCAGATAGGTACCTTTGATGTGAGGACTGTCCAGCATGGGCACCAAGGCCTCCACCTGCTCCAAGAGTGCAACCTGGGAGAGGATAAACTGCTCCTCTGAAGCATGAGCAAACAAGACAGTGGCAGTGAAGTAGGCCTATTCCCATGCATGGGGCTGAGGCCTGGCAGGGGAGATGGCTGGCTCCTAGAGCTTTGGACAGCTACTCTGCCCACTGCTCCCTTCTCTAGGTGCATACTCCATCCTGCCCCCACCTCTACTGACCCATCTTGAGCTAGGGATCTCTCAGTTTCTCCAAATCCCACCTTTCTCCAAGTTTCAACTCCAGGGCCTCTTCCTGTAGCCTCTTCTCAATAAATTCTCAAGGAGCCCCTCCTAGGCCACAGGAAATGAAGGGCTTCAGGCTTGGGTCCCCATACCCAAAGACTCTAGGAAGGTCTGAGAGAGGAGACATGTGGCAGACTCTACCAGGCAGATTCTGTTCAGTGGTTCTGAGAGGGACAGACAATTACAAGCTTCAGGAGAGCTGGGGCAGTAATGGGAAAGTCCAGTGTGAGAGCAGGATCTGGGCTGGGCCCTGTACAGGGGATTTCAATGGTTGCACAGACTGGAAAGGGCATTCAAGAAGAGGAGACTGTATGTGCAAATGCTTGGAGGTAGGCGTGCTTGTCCTTTAGTAGAGGAAAGAATTGCTGAACAGGAAAAGGGAGAGCATAGAAAATAGAGCTGGATGGAAGAGCAGGTCTGGCAGACTGTGGAAGGCCTTGAATGGCAGGCTAAGGAATTAAGACTTTATCCATCAAGGACAGAGAGACACTGAGGTTCCAAAGTGGACAAAGTGACATTGGAAACCATATGCTGGAGGGGAAAGACTAGAGTGTAACTGTTTAAGTGTGAGGGGATATTATGCATTAAATTATGTCCCCCCAAAATTTGTGTTAAAATCCTAATCCCTGTACCTGTAAATATCACCCTGTTTGGAAATAGGAGTTTTACTTTTGTTTTGTTAATGAGTTCATGCCAGAGTAGAGTGGATCCTAAACCAAATCACTTCTGAGTTATAAAAAGACCAGAATAGACACAGAGATACACACAGGGGGAAGGGGAAGACAGATGATGGAGACAGATGCATCTACAAGCTGAGGAACGCCAAGGATTGCCTTCACTACTAGAAGCTGAAATAGACAAGGAAGGACCTCCCACTAGAGCCATGCCCTGAATTCGTACTTCTAGCATCCTGAACTGTGACAAAAATATTTCTGTTCTTTAAAGCCACCCATTTGTGATATTTCTGTTATGGCAGTAATAAGTCACTAAGACAGGGAATGAACACTGGAGATGTGACCATGGGGAGGGATAGAGAGGCTGAACTCAAGAGTCAGTGCAGGGGAGGAGCTCCTGAACTTGGTGCCTGAGTCATGGCAATTGATCAGGAGCTCTTTGGGAGCTGCCCATCCTCACCCAGTCCTCAGTACTGCATTGCCTCTACCCATCTCCCTCTTGGGAATCCGATCTCCCAGCTGGGTTACAAGCTCAGGTCCCTGAGCAAGCATTCTGTCTCTTCTAGCTTAGCCTGTGCCCATGAGGGCAGGGACTTTCTCGTTTCATCATATACCTCACACCAGGGTAGTGTGAGGTATACTGACTCAGTAAATGATCATTAAACATCTTTTGAATGAATGAACGAACACAAACTCAGCAAACCCTAGCTTGTGGAGTGGCTGGCTGACTTATTAGCAGACACAGTCAAGGCAACAGTCCCTGCCTAGAACTCTGAAATCCTAGAGCCTTCTCACACGAAAGAAAGATATTGAAACTCATGCCAATACTACCCCTCTCCTAAATGCAATACCCTCTGCCCCCACACTGTCCTAGAAGCTCCTCTGTCCCATGAAAAGTGAGGAAGGTTCTGAAGGAAAATCCTAGGGGCAGACCATTGCTAGAACACTGGAGTAGTTCCCACTGTGGCTGGTAACATGATCTGCAGCTAGCCCAGAGGTATACCATGCCCAATGCCTATTAGAGGACCCACAGGACCACCTCCAGCCAGAGCCAGGCCAGAATTCCAGAGAGTAGCTTCCAGGGCTGTATCCATGAGAACACTGAATGGGGAGGCCATCTCTGTGCCCAATCTCCCCTACAACCTACACCCCCAGATACATGTGCACACATTGTCCAGCACTACCTGCTAAGATGAATTGCAGCTTAGAGGCATCAGGTATGGCAATTCGGTCGATATACTCAGGATCCAGGTATTTGATCAGGTCTTCAACTAGAAAAGTAGCAAGATGGAAAATGGAACCAATACGGTTGGGAAGTGAGGCTCTGTCTTATGAAGCCTTCAGTGAGGAGCTGACACAGTGCCCCATCAGCAGCCTTCACCAGGTCCCCACCCCCAATTCTGTCTCTCCACTCTCATCACCACAAGCCTTGGAGCTGGGAACATCATTGCTACCACCACCCTGGAGCCCGGAACATCATTGCTACCACCACCCTGGAGCCCTCAGCTCTCCCACTGACCTATCCACATCAAGGGGTGGAAGGTCCCTTTCCCCCTATGTGTCACCAAGACAAGCCAGAACTTTGTCTGATTGACACTTACTGAGCAGAGGTTGCTAGCTCTGAGATAACCAAAAGAGGCTTGGCTGACCCAAGGCTGGGTTTCTCAGTGGCTAATTTCTGCTCCTTAACCTTGCCCTTCCTTCTTCCTCCACCAACAGGAACTGTCAGGCAGAGCTCCTGTCCCATAACTTAGGACACTGTCATAAGCTTAGGAAAACAGATAGCACACCCCACTTCACTACTTCAGCAGGGAAATGTCTTTACATTCTTGCTCTCCCCAAAGGGCTATTCCATGACCTACTGTCTACTGAAGGGCTAGGGCCAAGTCCCAGAAAGCACAGGCATGGGAAGGAGGGCAGGCAGGCACCCCAGAGAGCCACTTACTCTTTTTGTACAGAATCTTCACTCTCTCCCTCTTGCTGGCAATGTTCCCCAAAGCCACCTGTACCTTGACCAGGCCATCAGCCACCTAGAAGGGGCAAACCCATAAACCAAACCCATTGCTGTTGAGTCGATTCTAACTCATAGGGACCCTATAGGACAGAGCAGAACTGCCCTGTAGGGTTTCCAAGGCTGTAAATCTTTATGGAAGCAGACTGCCACATCTTTCTCCCACAGAGTGGCTGGTGGGTTCAAACCACCAACCTTCTGGTTAGCAGACAAGTGCTTAACCACTGCACTTCCTACAGGGGACCAAAACAAAAAAAACAAACTTGTTGCCATCAAGTCGAGTCTGACTCATAGCGACCCTATAGGACAGAATAGAACTGCCCCATAGTTTCCATGGAGCACCTGGTGGATTTGAACTGCTGACCTTTTGGTTAGCAGCCGTAGCTCTTAACCACTATACCACCAGGGTTTACCCTAGAAGGGGAGTGGAGGTTAATTCCAAGATATACCTCCTAGATCAAGGTTTGGCAGAGGTAAAGAACTCTTATCCCCCAACTCCCCAACTTCTGAGTCCTAGCAATGTAGGTTGGCTCTCTTCTCTTGTATTAAAGGAGGTGCAATCCCATCTTCAGGGAATCCTCAGTGTGAATGGGGAGATAATAATGTGCTCTTTGGGGAGTTTTAAGCCTGAGTAGGGAGATAATGAGCTATTATGGAGCTTATGGGGCACCAGCACATACTATATATTCCCTGGTTCCTAAACCCTGGATTTAGGCATGACAAATCCAAGCATCCTCATCCAGGCCTTATTACCTCATCACTGGACAACTGTACCAGCCTCCACACTGGCTGGCCAACCTCTAGCTCTATCCCCTGCACATAAACTTTAGTGTGGCAGATGAAAGAGTCTAGGACAACCTCTAGGATCCCAGTGACAGTGCAATCCCTGTATTAGGGAATAAAGAAGAGAATCAGGTTAGGCGAGAGGAAGAGTACAGTTAAGAGCATGTGGATGAGTTTGAAATGCCTGTGGGACATCCAAGTGGAAGAGTCCAGCAGCGAACTAGAGATACAAGTCTGGCTCTCAGAACAGAAATCTGGACTGGAGATATAAAATTGAGACATAATGATATGTAAATGGTAACAAACTATGGAAGTGAATGAGCTAGGGCTTAAGGGTAGAGGTGATGAATGCTAATATTCAAGAGCCAAATATATGGGGAGGCAACTAAGACTGGTAAGAAGCAACCAGAGAAGTAGGAGGAAAACTAGAAGGGTTGGTGTCATAGATGCCAAAGGGAGACAATGTTTTGTGAAGTTAGTTCTCAAATGGAAGCACAATCTGCTAGTGACACCTAATCCACAAGAAGTGTACAGACAGACACCATTATCTCAGATCCACTTAGCTCCAGATATGCCTGACACTCCACCAGGAGTTCCTCAGCAAAACATCATCCCATAGTAGAAAAGGGGTGGGTGGACACCTGAGACTCATGGTTGTCAAAATGCAGTCACTTGGGTGAAGGAGTGCTGGTCCGCATCTGAACAGCAGGTGTTCAACTCCCTCCCCTCCTAATCCTAGGCCTCTCAGACCTCACTTCTGCCCTGTGGAGCTTTCTTTATCCACCTCTGCCCTGCTTCCTCTGTTTATCATGGACCTCTCTCTCCACACAATTCATTTAACAATTAATTACGCAGGGCTCCATGACAGCCCTTCCATTGTGGACTTCAGCTCTTATTGAAACTCTCATTAGTCAGCTTCTCGAGTGTGTCAGGTCTCAACTAGGCGACGAGAAGAGGGCGGAGTCTTGGTCACCTTTCGTACAGAGGCCATTTCGAGCCGACCTAACCAACCGCTGAGTCTCCCCCTCCCTGCCCCATGGGAATGGGTCCTGAGGGTCAGATCTGCTCCAAGAGGTCCCGGACCTTTGTTATTTCAAAGGCCGAGACTGGAGCGGTTGCATGCACCTCGAGGGCCGGGCCAGTAGGTCGCTCTGCTCTGTCCCGGAAAGGGACAGCCGGACCCCAGACCGCTCACCTTCCGCGAGCCACGCGCCCCGCCTGGCCCATACACCCAGCGCTCCAGCTCCTCCACATTGGTCTGTAGCCGCTGCAGGTCTGTCACAGCCGCCATCGCCACCGCCGCCCCACCTCAGCCAGGGAATAGACAGAGGGAGGGACATCCTTCCAAACAGGAAGGCTGACCAATCCGAGTGCATGTGCGCCCTCCCGGAGGGAAGTGACACCATGATTCGAGCCTTCAGTGCCGGAAGTGATCGGATGTAGCCGGTGAAGTGTCAAAAGCTGCCTAGTTACCTGGCAACGGCTACTTCTCCCGGCCCTAGCTTGCTTGTTAAGACTTTTGCCTTTCTATTCCTAATTCGAGAGTACCAAAGAGGTTTCCTCCCACTGAGGTTCTGCGTATGAATACACGCACTATTCCAAGATAGGTCCATTCCCATAGGTCAGTAGGAGGCCCCATGAGTTAGCATAGCCTTTTGGAGTCTTCTGAGATTCAAGAGATTAACTGACTTGCCCAAGGCTACCCAGCTCTATAGTGCTAGAATCAGCATGAGTTTCTATTCTTACTGAGCTTCGGCTATGCCGCCTTCCCCCTGGGATCCCTGACCGGATGTAGCCTGTGTATTATATCATTATTTCCCCCTCCACCCTCCACCCACCCAAACAAGAAGGAGAGGACACACAGGAGAGGGAGGGACAGCAGTTTTATTGTCCAGATGTGGCCTGGGACACCTCCTCCACAACACCCTCAACCCAACCCTTCACCTGGCTCCTGAAGAGGAGCAGAGCTGGGGCCCCTAGAGATGGCATTGACACAGACAGCATATGAAGGAGATGAGGTTACTGGAGGGATAACTCTTTGGTAGACGTTGCTGGAGTTGGCCAGGGTGAAGGTGACCTTCCTTTACAATGAGGTAGATGTGACATGGAAAGAAAACTCTTTGGCTTCAAGTCCACATGGCATGGGGGAGAGGGAGTCACCTCCCAGGGCATGGTCCCAGAGTAAGTGCCCTGGAAGAATCAAGGTGTGTGTGTTGGGGGGGGATTGTCCTTCCCCCTCAGCAGTGGGGCTAGGACTCTTAGTTCTGAGTGGGAACTCTCAGGGTGAGGCCCTGGAAAGGGGTCCTGTAGCGGGCTGGGGTGCAGGGTTGTTTGGGCCCTGGGAAGCTGGCACCGGCTGGCGGCGGGCAAAGAGGACACCTGGCAAAGGGGTGAGATGGTAGAGGGCAAACACAAGCAGAGGGAGTGAGGCAGAAAACAGAAGAGGGAAACAAAAGTAAGACTGCTAGAACACCACACACATACTCCTAACACAAACCAATTAGGAAAGCTCCTTGTGTCAGTGAGAGATTCCTATGCCAATGAAGATACCCTCAAATGTGTAAACTGGTATCTATAATGATACATGGGCCCATGATAGGGCAGACATCCCATGGTACCCATGCCAATGAGGTCATGCCTTGGACCCCATGCCATGTAGACACCCCCTTTAACACATGCTAGTGTAGCAATCCCCTGAACCCCATGTTACCATGCGAATTTACACATCCTTGAACCTCATGCTAGTAGAGACAGTCTAAAATCCCCATGCCAGTGTAAATACCCCTGACCCCATGCCAGTGTAGACAGCCTGCAGTACCCATACCAGTGTAGACCACCCCGTTGATCTCTAGGGCCATGTTGATACTGCTGATGCCACTGCCCGCCAGATTGAGAGGCCCATCCAGCCGCTCTTCTGTGCAGGAGGGGGCAGGGGTCACATTTTTGGGAATCAAACTATAGACTTGGAAGTGCCCTCCTCCATGCCTGTAGACAGCCCCCATCCCACTTTGGCCCCACACCTGTAATTACACAGCCATGTATAGAGGGTTCTGTCTGCCCCACCTCCGACACCTATCAGGCATGTGCATGTCCTCCCTCAGTACACAGGCCCGAAGCCCACTCAGCAATGAGTCCCTCCTCACCCCTCAGGGGGACCTTGCCACAGGGCAGAAAACTGGGGGGTGCGCCAGGTCGAGGTGGGTCCATAGGCCCCATCAGCACAGCCCTCTTCTCCGGAGGCTCCTCTGGTGCCAACTTCTCCCTCACAGGTCCCAGGGCCAGACCCACAGGCAATGCCACGCAAGGGGTGGGAATTCCACTCTCCTCTGGAAGAACAGGTCACTCAGCTTCGCTGACCCAGCCAACCCCATCTCTGCATTTGGTTCTCACCTAAGCTCATGCAGCAAGTTCAACCTCACCTCCCATCCAAAGCCTTAACCTGGAGGCTCTGAAGCTGCAGAGCCCAAAGGGCCAATATATATGTCCAGGTTGGCGCAAGCCAACTGGGTGACCAAGTCAATTTGGGGGATTTCCTTGCTTTTGGTTGTTAAATAATCCAGGTTACAGGAGGCACAAACCACATGTAAATAGGAGCCCCGGGAGGGCAGAAGTGGAAAGGAGCTGCTCTGGATAAAGGGCCTTTTCCTGAGCTTCAGCCCCATACCGCAGTGATGGGTATCCAGGGTTCCTAACGCTTCATGGACCCCAAACCCCAGACCCCTAAACCTCAGGACCTCTAAATCTCAGCGCCCCCTAAACTGCCCTATCCCTCAATGCCTCCCAGATCTGAATATCCCATATTTTTATGTCCCCTATATCTCAGCATCCTATAAACCTCAGAGACCCTCAAAACTCTGCTCCGCCCTCTCCTCTCGCACCTTTCTTAATGGGGCTCGGGCTCAGCTGGGCGCACGCGTGGGCAGGCAAGCCAGAGGCGGAGCTCTGGGCAGGGCCTGGGTGGGGCGCAGGTGGGGCGGGGCCAGGCGCCGAGGCGGGGCCCCGAGCGCCCCGAGGGGGCGGCCCGGCCAAACCGTAGAGCTGGGTGGCGCTGTAAGCCGGGCGACGGCCCTCGCGCCGATTGCTGTCGATAGCGGCCTGGAGCTCCCCCGGCGAGCTGAGCGCTCGCGTCTCGCACTCGTACGGGTACAGGTACTTCATATATCTAAGGGCAGACGGAGTGTGGGGCGGGATTCTGGGCCTAACTGGTTAATCCCCATACCCCGACACTGACCCAGTGCTCTTCACGCCCGCCTCCCGCGCGCCCTGCCCCCGCCTTTCGCCCCTGGCCTCACTGGGTGCGTAGAGTGAAGGCGGCTGAGGTGATGGTGGTGGGTAGACTGAGGCCTCGCGTGACCTCCCGCCACACCTTGCGGTTGATGACTTCCACCAGCCCGCCCTTAGCGGTCACTAGGCGAAACAGCGCGTACAGGTCCAGCACCTGCTTCGCCATGATGGGTACGCGGTTCACTGGCGTCCCTGGTGGAGGTGGGCAAAGAGTCGGCACGCTAAGACCCTGCGTGCAGCATCCCTGGGAACTGAAGAAATTGGATCCCTGGACGATGCCTGGGTGCGGGGCGGTCAGGCAGAAAGGAGAGGAGGAGAGAGGGGTGGGAAGATGGAATTATGGGCAGAGCCCCTAGGCCTCCATTGTAGCAAGGAGGACAGGATGCTAGACGAGAACAAGCTTTTTCTGTTAAGGGCCCGATGGTAAATATTTTAGACTTTGCAGGCCAGTCTCTGTCACAACTACTCAACTCTGCTGAAGTAGCCTGAAAACAGCCACGCTGGTTGCCCAAGAGCTGATTCCGACTCATGGCCACCCCATATGTATCAGAGAACTGTGCTCCACAGGGTTTTCAATGGCTGATTTTTCAGAAGTAGATCGCCAGGTCCGTCCTCCGAGGTGCCTCTGGGTGGACTGGAACCTAAAATCCTTTCTGTTAGCAGCTGAGAGCCTTAACCGTTCTCATCACCCAGGAACTCTGAAAACAGCCTTAGAGGATTCTTAAAGGAATGGGTGTTCGTGTGTTCCAATAAAGCTTTGTTTACAACACAGAAATTTGAATTTCACACATTTGAAAATATTATTCTTCTTTTGATTTTTCTTTTTCCAACTATTTTAAAATGTAAGAACCATTCTTTTCTCTAAGGCGCGTGGATTTGGCCCCCAGGCCCTAGTTTTCCGACCTCTGGGGTAGACCGTAGGAAGGACTTCCCCACAGTGCTGCAGAGCAGGACTCCCCTAAACAGCGGCCTAGGGGTGGCTGCCTGGAGGCCAGAGGATGGCCGGCGCGAGAAGGAGCAACCCTGCTCAGCTTGCCGACTCCGCAGCCCGCGCCGCCCCCGCTCGCCAGTTCTGACAAAAGGGCCTGTCTGCGCTGAGCGATGGGCCCCAGTTAATTCCTTACCGATCCCGTCCCCTCCCTCCGCCGCCTTTGGACCCGAACAATTAGCCGCGGCCTGATTAATGGGGGGAAATTATCGGCCCCGCGGGACACCTCCCCCCACAGCAGGCGTGGAGGGAAGCGGGACCAGAGGGAAGCAGAATCCAGGGCATTGAAGGGGTTGGGGGGAGGGTGTTGTGCTGGAATCTGCTCAGAGCTCCAGCCTAGCATAGGGGTAGTCGCGAGGAGAGGGAAGGGATACTGGGACAGAACCACCAGGCCTCCCTGGGGAGCAAGAGGACCTGGAACCCCGCGGAGGGTCCCTAGGGAAGGAAGAGACCTTAAAGGGGTGCTGGGCCTGCAGTGGGCAACTGATGGGTTTGGGTCAGCAGCTGCAGTAAGGGGCGGGGCGGGGGGCAGTGCAGCCAGTTAATTAGCGGCTTATCAGGCCTCAGTTGGAGTGAGTTAATTAGCTTTGTAGAGAGAGATAATGAGTCAGTCTTTGGGCCCATGAATCTGGGGAGAAGCCAGAGTGATGGACTGCCACCCAACCTGCTCCTCTCCTGGACTCTTCTTTCCTTCTTTTCCAGCTCTGATATTCCTGGAAAGGAATTCCTTCTCCCCCACAGCTCCAACTCACACAGCCACACCTCACCCCCTTCGGGAAGTCCTCCCTTCAGTCTAATCCCAGTCTTTCCTGCTGTAGAACACATGGGATGGCCCATGCCTGAGGCAAAGGGAAATTGAAGGGAGACAAGGCTGGAGGAAGGACCCACTATAGAAGACCAATGTATTCCCAGCCCCCAATCCTGGGACCACCCCCACCCCACCTCAGGTCAACCCCCACCAGTTCCCCCTCCCACTCTCCCAATTGATCCCACACTCATTAACCTGCCAGTGGTCTGACCACTAATTAATCCCAGGGCAGAGGAGGGGGTAGGGTCAGAGGTTAAAGACTCTATTGAGGGCCCAAAGGACGGGTACTGTCCAGCTCAGTCCTCTGCAGCATCTAAACCTTGGGGTCTCCCTTCCTTAAACTTGGTAAGTGGAGGGAATCCCAGGATCCTTCCCCCCACATCACCACACTCACCCCTCTTCTGCATGAAGCTAAACAGGTCATCCAGAAATTCCTTCCTCTTGGGATCTGCATCAAGTTCGTACAGCTGGGGAAGGAACAGGGTCATGCCACAGTTCTGCTGACCTCCTCTCCCCCCAGGGACCTCAACCCAAGTTGTACTCTGAACAAGGGCCCCCCAGCTGAAGGCCAAGTAGGGTCTGAAATGTGGACTTCCTGGCATTGGGTTCTGTCTCCTTGGGGGCAGGTAGGGGCACATTTTTCTGATACACACAGAGGCTCTGTACTAGCTAATAGTGACCTGGGCCGCTCAAACCACCCATCTGGGGAGTAGGGGAAGGAAGTAGGAATCTTCCCCTACCCTAGGAGAGCCTTTTCCACACTGAGAAGATTGACAAGTATACCAGAGACACTCATTCACTCTCTCATGCATTTGTGCAAGTGCTTTATGCTGTTCACATCCCTGTGTGCCAGGGCGGGGGTGAGAGGCAAAGATGCCTCCAACCTATCTATCCCTCACCCAGGGTGGATGCCCAAAAGCTCTTGGATTGAAACCTGGGGCCCCTCAGCCCACCCTCTTGTCTGATCTCCCTTCAAGGGCTGTGATCCTACCCACTGCAGAAACTGCCACAACGGCCCTGTGCCACTCAGGACCTCTGGGTTGAAGGACAGGGGTCAGGGCTTGAAGGACCCTAGGGTCATCTCACTCCTTCCCAGTATCCCTGAGCCCCATCTCCAGCATCACCTCCCAAGTACTACCCAGGAGGAACAATCCCTAGAGTAACAGAGTCATTTACCAGAGTAACAGTCCGTGAGTAACACCCCCATCCACAGAAAGAACTCAGAGTAACAAACACCTATGAGTAACAAAGAAACTGATCTTTATAGTGACACTCCCAAACAACTGAGTCCTTAGCCTTAGATGGATACCCACAAATAACACACACTCAAAGTAATAATCCTCAGAATTATACTCGGGAGAAACAACCTCTAGAGCCACATCTCCAGAGTAACAGATCCCTGTTACACTAATGCCACAAAGTACTGGAAAATACTCAAGACCAGCACCCTGTGAGTAACACCATCAGAACAACACACCTAGAGTCACATCCATGAATAACACTTTGCCAAGAAACAGCTCTGTGTGATGCCCTTATAGTGACAGTTTGGAGTAATGTCTTTAGAAAAACATCCAGAAGGCCCCCCCAGGGAGGAAGAGCCTCATATTAAGGCCCTGTGAGTAATATCTTGTCACTCCCATTGCACAGGGAGCCTACAGTCACACTGAGGCTATAGTGGCCATCACAGGCTGGGAACTGTCATTCATGGATCTCAGGCCAGGGAAGAGAATTGGAATGGGGGGGCAAGGAAGAGAGGAGGGGGTCACCAGCCTGCCAAGGGGTGGCAATCTCCATTCTGCTTACAAAAACAGGAGTGACCAGCCCGGGACACCCTCACTGGAATGTGACCTTGTGGTTTGATATGTGAGAGCACAAGGTGATGTTGGGGCTCAGCACTGGCACTGGAATCCCCAACTTCCAGGTCTCCCTCCCTCAAAAGACTTCTTGGAGGTCCCTATAACCCTTCCCACCTTCCCTTCCAGCCCCACCAAAGGCCTCCATTCTGTCTGTCTCCATGTTTCTGGGTATCTCTCCTGCACCTCTTTCTCTCTCTTTTAGTGTGTACATATCTCTGGGTGTCTCTCTATCTCTCCCTGCCTGTCACTATCTATCCCCTAGTCTTCCCACTCTGTCTCTGGGTGTCCCTCTATCTCTCCCTTCCTATGACTATCTATCCCCCAATCTCCCTACTCTGTCTCTCTCGGTTTCTAGGTCTAGGTCTCTGTGTCTGTCTTCCTCTCCATCCTGCAGAGGGCAATGAGAGGTGGGTGGGCTACTGATCACTTGGCTCTGCTCTGCCTTTGCCCAGTGGGGAGAGGGGGAAGAGTCTGACATCGAGGATGTCCTACCTGCTTGAACTGTTCCTCGTAGGTCCACTCATGGGGATGGGGTCCAGGGAGCTGGCTGGCTGGAGAGCTGGGGCCCTGGGCCCCCAGAAGGCTCTCCTCTGCTGCCTCCTCGTCTGCACCAGCTTCCTCCCCTTCCTTCTCCTCTTCAGCATCCTCCTCTTCCTCAGCCCCAGCCTCACCCAAGGCCCTGTCCGGGGCCTGCAGGGTCCGGGGTCCAGGCAGGGGAGGTCTTGGTGGTGGAGGGCAGGGCGGGGCCAATTGCCTCACTCCCCGGGCCAGCCGAGCTGCCTGCTGCCTCTGCAGGGCCTCCATTACAGCTTCCAGGCGCAGTCCCCCCACTGGGGGGGGCCCTGGCACCAGGCGGGGCCCCGCAGAGAGGGCCGCCTGTGGGGGAGGCAGTTATGGGGGCTGAGCCTTGCTGCCCCCATAACCCCAACACAAGAGGAGGGGGTCACAGATGCAGGGACGTGTAGGGGGCCATAAAGAAAGAGGCAGACAGACAGCTTTCTCAGAGATGGACAGAGACAGAGAGAAAGAGCAGGAGAAACAGAGACCAGACTCAAGAAGACCGAAATGGACATTGACTGAGGCTAGGGAGAGAGGGAGCAGATCAGAGAGAGCGACAGGGACCAAGCGACAGAGAAAGATGGAGCTGTTAGAGAGATGATACAGAGAGATCTGACAGAGACAATGACAGGGAGATATGGAGATAGAGACGGAGAAGGGACAGAGAGACAAGAAGAGAGAGGTGGAAGGAGATCAAGGTGGGGAGAGACAGAAGGCAGACAAGGATGGAGAGACAGAGATTTGGAAAGATGAGACTGGCAGAGATATGGGGTAAAGAGACAGAGAGGGTAAGAGAGAGAAAGGAGGGAGAGATAATATCAAAGACCTGAGTGACAGACAGCCCAGAGAGAGGGACAGAGGCGGACAGACAGGAGAAGAGAGACAAATAGTGAGACAGAGGCTGAGAGAGACAGGGAAAGACCTACTCAGCACGACACAGAGTCAGAAGAGAGAGGTCAGAAAGAGACAAGGTGAGACACTGAATAGAGGGGAACACACAGACGGGGCAGGGAGAAGCAGACGGAGAGACCGAGCAGAGTCGACGAGGACAAGAACCGAGGAGGCGCGGGAATAGTGGCAGCGGGGGCAGAGCCCTGGACGGGGACCGGACCGAGCGGGCAGGGTAGCAGGTCGCGACACCCAGCTGTTTCCTTCCCAGGCCCCAGAGGCTGGACTCACCAGCCTGGTGCGGCCCGCTGTCCCCGGCTTCTCCACGGCGCTCCCTCTGCTCCGCCCGCCTCCCGAGCGGTCCCTGCCTCGGCTTGGCTCCCTGTGCGGGGTCCCCAGCTGTGCGCTCCCGCAGCTGTGCGCTCCTCTGGCCGCCGGGCGCTCACTCGCTGCTCTGCTGCCAGCGGCCGCGGGGGCGGGACTGGAGCCGGGCAGGGCGGGCGGGGCGCCGCGGGAGAGGCCCCCGTGGGTTCTGCCGCTTACAGCCCCCCCAACAGGTGTCCCCCACCACCCAGCCCCACCCTCCACACTGCTAGCTTGGGGGGAGGGGCGCTGAAGAGCTGCGGGGAATCGTGCGAGAGTGGGGACTCCGGACCAGGGCCCGCCCAGCCTCAAGAGTCGTGCCCCCCACCCCGGCGCTCAGAGCCAGACATTCATACCCTAACACACCCCCGTCATAAGTTCAGGCACACAGCTCCCCTGTCTCACACGTGCTGTTACATGGTTACTATTGCACTCACGACCTGGTCAGGCTGTGACCCTGCGGGAATCATTCTGCCGAGGCTGGAGTTAAGTGTGGAGGGCCTGACTAGATCAGAAGTTGATCCTCCTATCCTACCCAGGTTTTGTCTCCAACTGTATGCACGCTGCAGTGTACACACTCGTGTGCCCATGGTGGTGGACATACACCTATGCATTTACTAACTCAGAGGCCTCTGAGCTAACTACATGCCCATAGCAGGGTATACACACCACATGAAGATATAGAGCCACACACAGTTTTTATCTTTTTTTGTCTTTTTGTTATGGACATTTTCAAATATATGCATAAAAAGAGTGAATAATGAATTTCTGGTACTGATTAACCATCTCAACAGTGATCCACATTTTGGCTGTCTTCACACACGCTCTCCATCTGTGTGTGTATGTCTCCTGAATCTGTATCTCCAGACCCCTTCAGCCAACTGTTTTGGGCCCACCCCACCCGTAGCTGAGAAGATGTTCCTTGTTTGGGGGTCTTGAGTGGAAGGCCACAGTTTTTCCTGAGCAGCCTGGACCCCACTTCTTCCTCTCAGGCAACCTCATATTTTCCCCAATTTCTTCCTGTGCCCATGGGAACCTACCTACCAAAAGTAGGAAGGCTACCCTGAGGTGATGCCAGGTGTGTGTGAACAACAGGTGTCTGCAGGGGTGACCTCTGCTATGTCAAACCCCACACTGGGGACCCTCTTCTGACCTCATACCCAGTGGTGCACACGTGCGCCAGGGCCATGATTCCTCTAGGAGGCAGGAATCTAGGTGTGACCCTTGCTTCCTCCCTCCTCTTTCACCCTCTCCCAATTAGTGCCCCCTCTTGGCCCTACCCTGCTATGACTCTTCTTACCAGAACTCTGTGGTGATGACACACCCTGTTCTCCCTGCCTCCAGCCTCCACCCTTCTCCCCAGTCCAGTTCCCACTGCAATTCTAAGTCCTTGTTTTCTTTGGCCCGTCCCTGGACACACTGAGGCCCAGCTCCCACTCATACCTTTGGCTCATCCCAGTGCCCTCCTGCTCAGATTTCAGACCTCACAGACAGTCAGGCTCCCCCTAGAAGCCTCGATGATCCGAATGCCTTCAGCTGGTACGATGCCCCATTCCCCATGGCCTTGTGTGGTATGAGTTCTCCTGTGGCAGAGTCAGCCCCCTTCCTCTGCCATCCCCTCCCCTGGGGGTTTGGCTTACAGAGGAGAGAATTGGTGAATGGGCAGAGGCAGGTAAATATGACCTGAGGGTCTCCTGGAGGACTAGAGTGTAGAGACCTGAGGAGCTCTTATGCCCAGCTTGTTCGCCTTCCCGTTAAAACTTCCTCTGACTGCTCAGAGAAGAGGTGTCCAGACAGAAATAGATGGTAAGGTTCCTATTGTAAAGGTAGGAGCTGGCTTGGGGAAATTCCAGGTCTCTGAGAGTTTAGAGATTGCTTTGTGGGGGGAGGGGGAAAAGGGACTGGACACCTACCCCCTACCCCCAAAATAAAAGAACCAATCATAACATAGTAAACCTACCTTTGTAGCCTGGACGAGGAGGGCCACAACTGAGAATGGCTGAGGGAAAGGAGTAAGCCTAACTGGAACTTGGTCTCTGTCTTCATCCATGAAAATGAAAGGCTGCCTCTCACACCCACACATAGTCCCTGTCTGGTCTGATCCCATACCTCACTGTGTGTGACAAAGACAATAGACAGAACTGGACTTCCAGAGACCAATGTTTCATTTATTCAACACAGATTTACTGAGCATTTACTTTATGCCAGGCACTGTTGACCACAGGAGTAAACAAAACAAAGTCCCTATTACAATGGATCTTTAATTCTAGTGGGGGAAATACATAGTATGTCAGATGGTGATAAGTACTATGGAGAAAAATAGAGCTGGGTTTGGGAGGGGGAGAATAGAAAGGGAAGGATATATTAGTTATTCATTGTCATGTAACAAATAACCCCAAAACTTAGCAGCTTAGAACAACAAACATTTATTTTCTTATAGTTCTGTGGGTCAGGAATTTGAGTGGCTTACCTGGGTGGTTCCAGTTCAGTGTCTCTCGTAAGGTTGTAGTAAAAGTGTTGGCCAGGGGTGCAGTTATGTGAAGACTTGACTGAGCCTGGAGGATCCAAATCCAAGATGGCTCACTTATATAGCTGTTAGCAGGAAGCTTCAGTTCCTCCCTATGTGGGCCTCTCCATAGGGCTGCTTGAGTGTCCTTTCAACATGTCAGCTGGTTTCCCCCAGAGTGAGTGCCCCAAAAGAGAATAAAGAGATGGCAATGCTTTTTATGGCCTAGTCTTGGAAGTCACACACTGTTACTTCTGCCATATATTATTTGTTAAAAGTATAGAATTAATTCTGCCCACACTCAAGGGGGAGGAGAATTAGGCTCCTCTTGAAGGAAGGAGTATCAAAAATTTTGTGGATGTATTTTAAAACCAAGGTCTGTAGGTGGCGCAAACAGTTTGGCGTCTGAACCCACTCAGTGATACCGAAGAAGAATAGGCCTGGCAATCTGCTTCCATTAAGATCACAGCCAAAGCTGGTAATAGGGAACCCAAGGTTAAGAAGGGACAGTGTTGACATGTTGTGGGGCTGTTAACCATTGTCATAAAACAATATGTGTACCAACTGTTTAATGAGAAACTATTTGTTCTGTAAACTTTCATCTAAAGTACAGTTAAAAAAAAAAAAGATCACAGCCAAGAAATACCCTATGGATCATTTCCATGATTTGGAATCAACTTGATGGCAATTAACAACAATGACATTTTAAAACCACCACAGAAGGACTGCTATTATACTAAGTATCAAGGGAAGGACTCACTGAGCAGGGATTGAAGAAGGGGAGAAAGAGAGCCATGTGAATATCTAGGAAGGGCATTGCAGTCAGGAGAATAGCAGGTGCAAACATCCTGAGGTAGAAGTTTGCTTGATGTGCTGGAAGAAAAGCAAGGAGGTCACTGGGCTAGAACAGGGTGGCCAATGGGTGAGTAGTCAGATGTTTGGTCAGAGGTAACACAGGCCTTGCAGCAGGCCCTTGGAGGCATTGACAAGACTGAATAAGGTGGAAAGCCATCGAAGTTACTGAGCAGATAGTGAAAGCCTGACTCTGGCTGCTGACTCTGGCTCTACACAGGATACAAGGATAAGGACTAGTAAGGAGGCCATTGCAGTAGTTCAGGAAAGAGATGATGGTGGCTGTTTTGGATTGAATTGTGTCCCCCCAAAAATGTGTTGTAAATCCTAACCCCTATATCTGTGGTTGTTATCCTATTTGGGAATGGGTTTTCTTTGCTGTGTTCTTAAATCAATCTCTTTTGAGATATAAAAGAGATTAAACAAGCAAGCCAGAGAAACAGAGATGGGGGAAGATAGATTCCAAGTCACATGAAGATCACCCAGGAGCAGAAGCTCAGAAGAGAGAAAGACCTTCCTCTAGAGCCAACAGAGAGAGAAAACCTTCCCCCGGAGCTGGCACCCTGAATTCTAACTTTAAGCCTCAGCCTTCCCCTAGAGCTGGCACCCTGAATTTGGACTTCGAGCTTCCTAAACTGTGAGAAAATAAATTTCTTTTTGTTATACCCATGCGGTATTTTTGTTATAGCAGCACTAGATAGCTAAGACTGTGGCTTAGATCAGGGTGGTAGCAGTGAAGGTAGCAAGAAATGGATAGATTATGGATATGTTTTGAAGAGAAAATTGACAAGATTTGTTGATGGATTGGATGTGGAATGTGAGAGAATGAGAGGTATTGAAGATAACTCCAAGGTTTTTGAACTGGGCATCTAGGTAAATGGAGGTGCCCTTAACTGAGACAGTAAAGACTGCAGGAAGGGCAGGATTGGAAGAGAAATCAGTTCATTTTGGACATTTCAGGTTTGAGATGCCTATTAGACATCCAAGTGGAGATGCTGATGGAGACGGAAGCAGTCAGCTATCTGAATCTGGAACTCAGGAAGAGATTTAGGCTGGAGACAAAAATTTGGGGATTGAATACCATATAGGTGGTATTTAAAGTCATTGAGAAGTGGTTGAGATCAACTGAGAGGGGGTGTAGACAGAGAAGAGGTTTGAGGACTAAGCCATGGGAAGTCAGGGTTTGAGGAGGTAAGAAGGATTCAGCAAAGGAGGCAATGAAGAAAGAGAGCTGAATGAGTCGTGTCCTGGTAGCCAAAAGAAGAGTGTGTTTAAGAGTAATTAACTGTGTCAAATAAAGTTGAGAATTAAGAAGTGACCACTGGATTTAGCAACAGAAATGGGAAGGGGCTGAGGGGCCTGGGAGCCTAGCCTTATGTGGAAGGGAGAGATGACAGGGGGAACTAAGGAGTCCCTGACAGATGTGTCTCTGAGCCTAGAGGCAGAGCTGGGTTATAGGGTGGGAAAAACCCTCAAAGAGGCACGACTTTGCTACCCATGCTCAATGGAGTGGCCCCAGCCAAGGCCTGTCACAGCTGGGTGGTGGTGGTGAGGTCGGGATAGCCATTTTGCCTGGGCCTCACACTCATTCAGAGCCACAAATTTTAGACTTTTGATGTTGTTTCCAAATGAGGTTATACATGTAGCCATTCCTATTTTTGTTAGTGTCAAATTTTTATAATATACAATTTTCATAACTATGTTTCTTCAATTTTTTATATACCAGCAAGCTTAAGAAGTAGGAGTGGCCCAGACCTTACTCAGCCTCAGAGCAGGGTCAGGACTAGAGGTGAAGCGAGGCGGTGAGTCCCTAGGGTGCAAAATTTTTTTTCTTGGAGTTTTTTAAAAAAATTTTTATTGTTGTAGTTTAAATGAAGTTTATATTTCAAGTTAGTCTCCCATACAAAAATTTATACATACATTGTTAGGTGACTCTAATTGTTCTCCCCATACTGTGACAGCACACTCCTCCTTTCCACCCCTGATTCCTCATATCCATTCAACCAGCTCCTGACCCTCTCTGCCTTCCCATCTCACCTCCGGACAGAAGCTGTCCGTTTAGTCTCTTGTATCTACTTGAGCTAAGAGGCACACTCCTCACGAGTGTCACTTTATGTCCCACAGTCCAGTCCAATCCCTGTCT